TCGGGTCCACTCAGGGACTTAGCTCAGCTTTCTATCCGAGAACAAACGGAGCTGCGGAATGAGCGAATGCAATGGTGGAGCAATATATTAGTTGTTAGGTGGATTACCAACAAGAGAACTGGGCGGACCTGTTGCCGTTCGCAGAAGTGGCTTACAATAATGCCTCACATAACAGCACTGGATTGACCCCCTTTCATGTCACCAGCAGCATGGACTTTGTCCCCATGCCTGAGCTGCCCAGAGAACCACCTTCCTCCATGACTCTGACTAAGTGGATGGAGTCACTAAAGAAGGGGTGGGAAAACACCCAAAAAAGCACTGGCAGAAGCTGCTGACGTGTATAAAAAGCAAGCAGACAAACACTGATCTCTCCAGCCCCCCTTCCGTGTGGGAGATCGGGTTTACCTATCAACCAAATACATAAAATTGCGGTTGCCCAGTAAAAAGCTGGCACCTAAGTTTCCAATAGTGAAAATAATTAACCCAGTTACAATTTAGATTGACCTCCCACACATACTAGGGAAAGTGCATCCTGTCTTTCACTGCAGTTTGCTAAAACTGGCAGTTGGGTTGAGATTAAGACCACAGACCTGACTGGCACCTAAATGTATAGTGGTGCAGGAGAAGACACATTATGAAGTTAAGAAAACTCTCAACCCTAGATTGTATAGAAGTCGATTACAGTATTTAATTCATTGGAAAGGGTACTCTTTGTCTGAAGCTACTTGGGTTAAAAGCTGGGACGTAAAAGCAGACAGATTAGTGAAACAATTTCATGATAAATTCCGTGATAAGCCAAAAGGTCCCTGTCAACTCATAAAGCATTCCAGGATCCATCAGAACCCTCACAGTCCCCCCGGTGGGGGGGGGGAGAGGAGATATGGTTAGGGAATATTGCATTAACTCCCTATGTTCCTTTTGTTGCAGGATGCAATCATCAGTTGAGGGGGGCAGCCTGCCATCCCTGGAGGCCATCTTTTTCTTTGGATCTTCATGGCTGCCACACTTAGTGCTGTGGGAAACTGGGAGGGGGGATTGCATAGAGTGGAGATATTTAGCCATAATAACATTCCTTTCTCTGAGAGTCAAGGACATTCAGGCCTGCACCTGGAGTGGCATGACTGGGAGGCATCTCTAGTTGGGACGGTGCATTGATTGGACCATGTGATGGACATGTCGGTGCAGGGGAAGGGACTTGGACTTTTTTTGGGTGGGGAAAACCTGGACACTTTCAGATTCGGGTTTTCCCAGATGTGCCAATATTACATCTCTAATAAAATGGAACTTTATAAAATGGGTGAGGGCTAATCCTATTATGCCCTGAGGGTGAAGGTTTTTTGTGTCGTAGATAAACTGGCCCAGTCATTTGTCTTGTAGATAGGCTGGCCCAGTCTTTCTGGAGCTATTAATAAAGGTGGGAGCTGCTTTCCAAGAGAATGTATCTCCTTTTCTCATCCAGGGAGGTATAATATTCTACCTTTTTAATATTTCCTAGAATATTTCATTCTTCTAGGAGAAGGGTGGGTGCTAACTTTATATATCATTTTGTAATTACTATGTGAACAAAAATTCCTGTGAAATTATTTCAAAATACAATAAATTAGCACCACAAAAAGTTAACAATCAATCACCAACATGAAAATAAATAATTTTTATGCATGTATATGGCAAAGTTGATGTTTTTATTCTAGTTAAATTTCATCAGACGGTACAGTCTCAAAACTACAATTTAGATTTCTAATTTTTAATCAAAGGGGGACCTTTGCACAGGTTCGCCTGGTGCACCAATTGCGACCTTAGGAGGCTCTCCTCACAGTCACTCATGCCCTTGTCACCTCACGGTTAGATTATTGCAATGCGCTCTACATGGGGCTAACCTTGAAAAGTGTTCGGAAACTACAGTTGGTCCAGAACGCAGCCGCGCGAGCTGTCGTGGGTGCACCTAGGTACACCCACATTACATCAATTCTCCGTGAGCTGCACTGGCGCCCTATTGGTCTCCGGTCACAATTCAAGGTGTTGATTATTATCTTTAAAGCCCTACATGGCTCAGGGCCAGGTTATCTTCGAGACTGCCTTCTACCGCATAGCTCCCAGCGACCGGTAAGATCCCACAGAGTTGGTCTCCTCCGGGTTCCGTCAGCTACACAGTACCGGCTGGTGGACCCATAGGGGAGGGCCTTCTCTGTGGCTGCCCCAACTCTCTGGAACCAGTTACCTCCTGAGATCCGGACCATCCCCACCCTATTGGCCTTCCAAAAAGCGGTGAAGACCTGGCTTTTCCAGCAGACCTGGGGCCATTGATCTCGTTGTTACGATCTGGCGAAATCCGGCCATGAATGGTGTGAATGAGTTTTAATTGTTTTTAATGTTTTAATTTTTAATGTTTTTATATATGGTTTTTAATGCATTGTAAGCCACCTTGAGTCTTTGGAGAAAGGCGGCATACAAGTTGAATGAATGAATGAATGAATGAATGAATGAATGAATGAATGAATAAATAAATAAATAAATAAATAAATAAATAAATAAATAAATCCTCCATACTCAAAACACTGGCTTTTAAAATCTCAGCTCAGAATCATTTGGCTTTTATCTGATTTTATGCCATCAGTTGTAAATCTTGATGCGCTATTATCTTTGCTTAACCATCCTGTTTTTTATATAAAATATAACTGTCTGATTGGATAGTGCACAAAACAGTTTTAAAAACTGGTAATTACATTTAATTTAAATAAAACACACTAGCTCAGACGTGAAATTGATTAAAAAATTTAAATCAAAAGGTTTAATTTTTAATAGTAATTTCATTATAGATTACAATTACAACAGTAAAAACTAACACAGTACAAAATATAAAATATAAATATAAAATATAAAAAAAATAGAAGGCGCCGGTATGCGTGCGGCCTGGGGGGGAGGGTTTGCTGGGTCTTCTCCCACTGTTGCTGCACCATCTGCTCGATAGGTAGGCTCCAGAAGGGGGTTGCCTCCCATGGCATCATCTGTGACTGCTGCCCTTTCTGCGCCCTTTGGTTGTTGTCCTGAGTCCCTTCGGATGTTGAGATTTTCCAAAGTTTCCATCCGATTGGGTTATATGCCTCTTCAGATAATCCTCCCTCAGTGATGCTTCGGTCAGTCCTCCCTGATCAGCAAGGGCTTCTAGTTCCAGTTTCCACCCCGGTTTTCGGTTGCCACGGCTGAGGGTGACTCCTCTGGTTCTCTCATCCCAGCTATCTTTCTTCCCAATGCCAATTGACCAGTGGAGCTTTTCAGGATTCTCCGGGGTTACCTCATCCTCTCCGATAGAGTGTACGAAACAGGCATCCGACTGGATGGTTTCTGTCTCCCCCCAGCAATCGGTTTCTCCCAGTTCTCTGCTTCATTCAGATATGGTTTGCAAGGTCCCCTCAGTAGAGCAAAGATTGCTTCTCTGGGCTGACCGTTTTGCAGATTGTGCTTTCTGTATGGATTGCCTCTCCTTCCAATTTAAGAAAGTACGAACTCTTGAAGCGTGGTTGTTCAAAAGGATTCTTTTATTAAGCAGAAGTGAAAGCCATCCAGCTAAAGCACAATCTGAATACCCTTAGGCAATACAAGCAGGATTAAAGCAATAGAGACCCTTCTCTTTAAGTCAGAATGCAGATTTTAGCCAATACACAAGTGTGAAGATGCTTTCTTTCCCAATTTCCCTGAGAACCCAAACAACCATGCATTCCCACTGTTCCCCTTTAAAGTGAAACAACCCACATGGCTATCATAAAAATTCCTCCAGGTAAAGAGGATCTCAGGGCTCTTTGGCGCCAGGATATAGGTTGTAAAATATCCGTTGACACAAGCAATGCTCATAAATTGAATCCAAGTCTCCCCCTTCCTCCAATTGAATGGCAGTATCCCTTTTAGGAATCTGACAGTTCTTCTGGTTCCCTCTTGTGTCCAATTTAAAGTCTTACGCATTTTTTTAAAAAAATTCAAAACGCATAAGCCCATGGGTAGCATTTTTTATTATTAGTTCCAGAATCTTATTTCAAATTTACCTTTGTGAAGTACAATAATAACTTTCAATCTATAATATGCCTAGTAATTATCAATCTTTGCTCTATTTCCATTGTTAAATCATTTTTTCAATAGAAAATAACTTGAATTGTTATTATATGTCAGTCCAATAGAAATTGAAATCCCCTGCTGAACAATGCCAAAATGGCAAAAAATAGTGGATAATGTTAGAAAAACTGTTGAGTTTTTCTGAATTCTTCAATAGGCAACAGATTACAAAAAGTGGGAAATTAGAAATTCATAACAAGTCCAGATGTTTCCTGATGTCTGCAATGCAAAATCAGTCTCAAAATGGAGATTACAGAATAAATGTATTTGATAGCATATTATTGTTAATTTTCATCTAGCTCTCAGGGAGAAAAAAAAACCTGGTTTACTTCCACAACTCAGAAAATACAAATGCTGGTAGTTCTTAATTTGTGTCTTGTCCATGGGGACATAAGAGTAGAAATAAACATTTGAAGTCTGTATGTTAGCAAAGCTGGGAGAAATATTATGTGGTTAAATCAAATTGCATACTGGTTGAAGGGCTTACAACCTCAAATTACTTTGCCCTGGGTTGTTGAAAACCTATTTCTTTGGAGCCATCATTTTCTTTGTTTCATTAAAAAAAAAAAAAAAAAACTATCATAAGAGCTCAGGGTTAGGGTTGCACTGGTTAAGACCAGCCAACGTGGAATTAATTAATTTGCAGAATTCATATAATTTCATTTCATAAAATAAAATGTGATTGTATTTTTTCCTCTATGGAATGTAAGTCAGACAGACAAATGTCAGTCTTAAATGAAAAGCTTATAAACTCTGTAAAGAGTGTATTTAGAGTTCTGCTGTCACATAATAAAGAAGTTTATTTATTTCATACTTTTTATTTATTTCTATTCCAGTGATCTTTATTTGAGTTATTGTCTAAATTAAATTCCCATCTTGTTACTTTTTCTTTATAGATTGGCAGATTGCTACTCTTTCTATGCTGTTGGGTGGTGCTGCCATAATTCTTATAGCTTTTTTGGTTGGACTAATTTCTATTTGTGTGGGATCACGGAGGAGGTTCTACAGACCTGTTGCTGTCATGCTGTTTGCGGCAGGTAAGTTAACAGCTGCTCTGAAATATGTACAACATTAGATAGCTGTTATTTTCTCAAGAATAAAGATAAAACATCTCTGATAATCCAAAAATAATTTCTTCATTTCAGATTGTTCAGCTTTTGTTTGACCAAGAAATCCCAAGATTTTCCTTCCAGGCCAACTCTTTCTACCATTTAAAGTTTGAAGAACATTCTTTATCAGCAGGCCAAAATCCCAGTGGCAACTAAATGAAGGAGTGCTTCTGCACCTATTTTTTCAGCCTAGATGTCATGCCTTCAATCTTACGCATTACAAGAAATAAAGCACACATTGTTACTTGACAGTAGTAGTATTTTATCTCCTCTGGCATTGCTTGCTTGACATTTTTAAAACACATTGTAAGTTATTATAACAGATACCATTTCAAGTCTTTGTAGAAACCTAAGGGACTTTATCGTTCAAGGTACAGTGTCAGTGTTTTTTAGCATTAGTTTTGGAAATTATTCATATAAAAATAAATAGAGGCTAAACTCAAATGTGTTTATATATTTATGTTCCACATAAAGCCTTGCTTTCATTGCTTTCATTTATATACATTTCATAGTATATAAATCCCTTATTTTTCAAAGGAAAGGGATTATATGAAGAAATTATTTTTAAGGCTCATATGAAAACTCAAGGATGTTCTTTAGTAGAATATACTGTATAACAAAATCACCATTTGATATGGATTTGAATATCCATCAAGTTACCTAATAATAGAGTTTTCCCTTCCTTCTTGCTAAGTTTTCCAGCTGCAACTTCCTTTCTATCAATCATGTTTTTGCTGGTACTGAAATAGTAAGCTTGCCCGATATACCATAATAGAGAGAATGACAGAACTATCTAGTCTGCTAGGTGGATTTTTAAAAATCAATTTAAAAGGATGTAGAATCCAGATTCTTAGTATTTCAAGGATGAATATACCATATTTTTTGGACTATAAGACACACCGGTGTATAAGATGCACCAAGATTCCAAAGAGGTAAGAAAAAAAAAAGGTTTTTGCCCTCCCTGGCCCCCAGAAGCACTCTGCAAGCCTCCCAAACCCTCTGCGCCCCCCATTTTTGCAAAACAGACCCGTTTTTTGCCTGTTTTTGCAAAAAATGGGGCACTCAAGAGGGTTTGGAAGGCCTGCAGAGTGCTCCTGGGGGCTGGGTGAGGGCAAAAATGCCCCCATTTTGGCAAAAAACAGGCCCATTTTTTGCAAAAATGGGATGAGTGGGGCGGGGCTTCGGGAGGCCAAAAATGGCTGTATTCAGTGTATAAGACGCACCAACATTTCCACCCTCTTATACGCCTAAAAATATGGTAATTGTAAGGAAAAGAATCCTACTTCGCTCTTCAATTTCCATTATTTTAGTTAGATCATTTTAGAGAGAAAGGACTATATTAAAGCTGTACCTTTCCAATTTTCAAAACTATTTGCAAGGATTGTTTTGATCTTTGTTCCATTCACTGGGGGAAAAAAGGAAGAATTGTTTATTGAAAACATATTTTATTTTAGTTGTTTTACTTAAAAATTTATAGTTCTTCAGCTCCTTTCATTCAAGCTGTTGCATCTCATGTGCTTTGAAAAAAGCTTCAGTTATCTGACAGAACATGGAGCATGAGAAGGATTATACTAGAGCACGGTGACCCGTGGGTCAGATGCACAGATGCACCTAGCACAGGCTATGCCTACCTCGGCTCCGCAAAGGCAAAAACATCACGATACATCGTGATACATCACGTGATGCGATTGTCAAACCTGAATTTGATCGGGGTGTGGGATTGTTTGTATCCTTGGGTACTCTGACATGAATTTAGTTTGACACAGTTTGGAGCTGAAGGGGAGAGCCGAGGAGGATAGAGCCTTCAGCCAAAATAACATAGCTAGCTGATGAGTCAAGTACATTCCAACGGCTGGCCGACTGGAGGAGGAGGAGAGAAGTTGTCAAGCAACCATCTCTCATATTGGTTGGACAATGTGACAATTTGTTTTGGAAAATTGAGAAACTATTATTTATATTGGGGTGGAAAGCGTGGGAACTTTCAGTACTGGCTTTCTACCAGTAGTGCCAAGATGATGTATCTAAATAAATTTGTTCTTTGAGGAAATGCAATGCCTCGGAGTTCAATTTGTTTAACATCCATGTACTAGAGGAAAAAGTAGACTTCTCTTAAGCATTTGATTGATAACACAAATAATTCTAAACATGCAACAGCTATAAAACTTGTAATAAACAATGCTGCAGAAGCTAGAGAAGATAATAAACCATTTAGTGTCACATATTTGTTAAGAGTGAAAAGAGTGTGTGAGAGAAATTGATTCAGTGATGCCAAGAATATATCAGAACAGAAGTTAGATTGCTATTTTCTCTTGGTTTAGAAGTCCTACAGAAATAAGTGAGACTGCCATTAAGAATAGAAATTTGTTAACAATAAAAAAAATGCTTCAGTGCCTTGAGATAATTGGATTTCTGTTAATAAACAAGAATTGATTTTTTTCAAAATGTTTATTCAAATGTCTAAATTTGCATTTACCATCAAAGTGTTAGTATAAACCTAAAAGTTCAGGAATCCCTCCAATAAACTAACTTTCATTACACAAAGGCTGCATTTTATAATCAAGAGAATAAAATGTTTTCTCCTGCAAAAAAACTGTCTAGAAAAAAAATGAAGAATATATTTGTGTATTGTGATGTTTTAGAAAAAAAACTTTGACTACCGCTGTGAAAGAAATGAAATGAATTACAGATATAGAATTAAATAATTTGAAAAGACAATTTAAGTCATTAATTCCCTATTCAGTGCAGGGATCAAAATTTAAACATCCTCAAGAGATTGTTTTTCAGCCTTTGACTGTGCTCACCAAGAAAGAGAAGTTCACATTTCCTTGATAAATGAATTAATTGTCCAAATGCTGTTACGCTGTTTCCACCAGGAAGTGTTTCCTAATATTTATTTCTATTCTATGTTCCTAGTACCATACTTAATAATACTTTTCTGTATCATGCATTGTGATGATAAGAGAAGAACTTTTGACATCTTCCTGCTCCACCCGCTCCCTTTCTCCTCCTCCTCCTCTGTCCCCTCTTTCTCCTCTACCTGTATATATGATTACACCCAAAATTACATTTGCTTTTCTAGCAGCCACACTATATTATTGTAATAAGCTTTTATTCTAGTATCCTTTTCACATTTACATTTTATTTCTTTTTCATAAATGAAGGACTTTGTATTTGTCTGCATTCATTTATCTTTTCAAACCTATCAATATCTTTTTGGATTTTGTTTTACTTTTATGATATGAAATGTGACAATATTTAAATATTTATTTAATTCAAATCATAATGATAATTCTGCAGCACATTCATTCAATACACATACATCCACCCAATCATTTGATGAGACATTGAGGAATACTGTTCAAGTACAATTTTTTGTTTAATGAATCTGCCATCTAGTCCATATTTAACTAGCTAGTTAATCAGAATTTCATGGGCCTTTTTATCACTTTCTCAATGTCAAGATATACATGCTTTTTCTACAATCTTTCAAGATATTGATAATCATAACTAGTGGTTTCTATTTCATCAATTTCTTTCTGCCACATCTTTCAAAAATAGGGATAAAATGTGTTCTCATCAAACCATTTGATACTTTACCTATTCTTCATGATTTTTCAAAGTTAATAGACTGAGGTTTGGATAGACTATCAGCAAGTTCTTCAATTCTTTTTTCTTGGTTGGATGGTTGCTAGATTTAACAAAAGATTTTGATCCCTTTTAACAGGAATGCAGGTATTAGTTGTCAGTATATATAGAAGATTAATAAAATAACCAAGAGCAAAATGGATTAATGTATTGGTATGATTAAATACATATTGTGAATGATCAGTTTCACTTAGCCAAATTTAGTAAAAATGGATATTTAAAAAAAACAAACATCTACACATTTCATTATTAATCTTCTGAACAAATTTGTTTAAAACTGTTTAGGTTATAAACAATATTCCACATTTTAATTAAAGAATTCAAATTAAAATAATGGAACTTATGTGCTTTTTCTACATATAGGTATCTCCTCAATTGTGAATTGTTGTTAGTTGCAAAGTCGTGTCCAACCCATCGCAACCCCATGGACAACGTTCCTCCAGGCCTTCCTGTCTTCTACCATCCTCTGGAGTCCATTTAGGCTCACGCCTACTGCTTCAGTGACTCTATCCAGCCACCTCATTCTCTGTCGTCCCCTTCTTCTTTTGCCCTCAATCTTTCCCAGTATTAGGCACTTCTCCAGTGAGTCCTTCCTTCTCATTAGGTGGCCAGAGTTTCATCTTCAGGACCTGGTCTTCTAAAGAGCAGTCAGGGTTGATCTCCTCTAGGACTGACCGGTTTGATTGCCTTGCAGTCCAAGGGACCCACAGGAATTTTCTCCAGCACCATAGCTCAAAGGCCTCAATTCTTTGGCGCTCAGTCTTTCTTATGGTCCAATTTTCACAGCCGTACATTGTAACTGGGAAAACCATAGCCTTGACTATACGCACTTTTTTTGGCAGGGTGATGTCTCTGCTTTTTAGAATGCTGTCTAGATTTGCCATAGCTTTCCTCCCCAGGTGTAGGAGTCTTTTAATTTCTTGGCTGCAATCCCCATCTGCGGTGATCTTGGAGCCCAGGAAAATAAAATCTGTCACTACCTCCATTTCTTCCCCATCTATTTGCCAGGAATTGAGAGGGCTGGATGCCATGATCTTAGTTTTCTTAATGTTGAGTTTCAAGCCAACTTTTGCACTCTCCTTCTTCACCCGGATCAAGAGGCTCTTTAGTTTCTCTTCGCTTTCTGCTATTAGAGTGGTATCATCTGCATATCTGAGGTTGTTGATATTTCTCCCAGCAACCTTAATTCCAACTTTTGATTAATCTAGCCCCGCCTTTCTCTCTTTTTTAAATTTTTTAAAATTTTATAAACAAACAAATATACAATACATAATCAATTGTTC